GTTCGATGCAATTTTCCTGAATGATGAGGGGAACACTTTGCAGAGCAACGGCTCGTTCCCAGTGTATGACGCCATCGCGTTCAGGTATAATCCGACGTGAAAGTTGGGGTTCGACTTCCCATCGTATATCTGGAACCTCAGCATACTGAATCTCTTCGGGACCTCAACTTTGTCTAATTCTTCCGAGAACGGCGTTCTCAGTTTTACCAATGAGGTTACCTCGGCATCTTGTTGCTTCCTCTGTAGGTGATCTCCTAAATCCTCTTTTGTTCGTCCAAGGGCTCGGCTATCTCCAGATTTCAGCCTCTTTGGCGTACTACTTCTAGTGTCATCGTGAGTCCTTTTGGACCTCCCTCCACTGGTCGTGTCGAAACAGAGTTCCTTCCCTTAAATATCCCGATGTTCTTTGGTGTAGGTTTCTTTTGTTTGACGTGCCTTCTGGGATTCTCCATGCCCGACCTCCCGCAAAGGCGGGTGAGAATGTCCCTTGGTCCCGCCATGCTGAGGGACTGCAAGTACCTTTTCTGCCCCCTTTTCTGGACACCTTTCTTGGCCGCTGGAATCGGCGTATCTTGTAGCGGGAACGATAGTTGCATGACGTTGTTCTGCATCATGAAATTGACGACCGTTTGCAGGTTCACCAATTTGTCTGCTATTTCCTTCATCTCGTCGTTCCTCCGCAGGCATCTATCTTTCTATACTTGGAGGTCGTTCTTGTTATAATACCCGCTCCAGTCCGATTTCTTCGGTACGGCGCCATCCTGGCCGACGTCTTTTCCTCCGTGATTCTTATCATGAGTCTTTTTGTTGCAGTTGTCTTCTTCGATGTCAAGGTCAATATGTTTCCCACTCTTGGTAGGGGTGTCATCCCCAACCTTCTCTTTCTGTCCGTCGTTGGCCATCTATTCTCATTTCTTTCCCACAGACGGCACCAAATTGTGTGAGTGATTTTCCGATCACACTGCCAACTTAGTATTCAGCTGGAGAGTACTGGCAGAATAGATGACACCTCGCTGACCTGTCAACAGAAAGAGAAGATTTCGGCGGTGGTTCGTCCACCCGGGGGCACTCCAACGATCAAGTCAGTACTCAATATCTCTAAAAAATAACCAATAGTGCTTAACTCACTAGACATAATATCAAAAGTATACCTTAGACCCATGGGGGTACCTCTCTTTTATAGCAAACTCAATCCTAGTCCCAATAGAAGCCTAGCTCTAATGGACTTAGGATTACTGCTAATCTTGGACTCCCAGTGGGATTAAGATAAACTCTCTAAGAGCCTTATCTTTACCCAAACTGAAGTCTTCTACCATTCTAGGACTCTTGTCCCTTATTTGCTTATCTCGGATTCTGGTATTCTCGTAGATAACCTCGGCAGTGTCCCAAATATCTCGGCAAACATGATCTGCCCACGTAGCACCTCGGCTAACAATCTCGGCCACGTGGACTACCCAAAAAATATGTCCCCACAAAAATAATAGAATATTTCTTCAAGAAGTATTTTTAGCCAAATTTATTAGATTTTCGCTTATGTTTCCTCCAATTTCCAATATAAATACAGCATAGCATGCTTGCTCAATTACTTGAGGGGAAATTTGTGGGAAAATAAAAAGTTTTATTTCATATATTTTTTTCTTCTTTTTCTCTTTTCAAATTGATGATACAAATATCGTCTTAACAAGCAAACAGTCACAATTCATATAGAAAGAAATTTGATAACTTCTGTGTTGCCCATTTCCTTACTACTAACAACTAAACCCTAGCCCTTAAATGTATACCGCAATTCAGTTTATTTCTTTTCTAGTTTTCAGTTTTATTTTATTTTTTATTTGACATTCTCCATCTTGCCCAAACATCGGTGAAGTTATATATTTCATTCTCTCTCCTATAAAAAATTTTGAAGAATAAAAAAACATTGAACTTAATTTTAAAATAATGTCAAAATTAGTGATTTTAGGTATCATATTAAAAAAATATGTTGATAAATATGATAATACTGTATGATAAGTAGAGTTAGTTTAAGAGGTAATCATGATCGTGATATAGCGTAGAAATGTGAACAACGACAAAATTGCGTAGCAAAAAAAACTGTGACGCTTGTATACAATGTGTTGAATCTAAAAATTACCACATTATAGAAAAAAGAAGAGAATTATCCCAATAAAATTGTGTTAATTAATGTCAACTTAAATTGAGGCTCACAATGTTAATTATAATAAAAGATAATTCGTAAAACAATTAGGACTAAAAGTGAAAATAAAAAGTTAGGAAATAAAATTATTGCTTATTAAAATATAAAAAAAAACAATTTTAATTCTTGTAGGATAAGAAAATAGACGAAATACCAAACCTAAATAAATAGAAAATTAAATATCTTAGACAACTCAATATTAAATCAAATTGGGAAAGCTCCTCTCCCAATCAGATTATTTTCAGCTCTTCTGCATACCATGAAAATAGCATCACAAAAATGATCGCCTCAACCCCAGTTAAATATGGGCCCACCTCACATAAAAAAATATTTAGTGACAATCTCCGAGACAACATTTTATAGTCTCTAGTTTTTCTCAATTATTCATAAATCAAATACCAATTCATTTCAAGTTTCGATAACTTGAAACTTGTCTGATTGGTTTTTTGAATCCGTGGTTCGGTTCCGGATTGAAAAATTAAAAATCCGTAGTTCATGGATTGGTTCCGGATTGAATCTCACGGTTCCGGATTGGAACCGATCCGGACCGTATATAAATAGTCTATATTTTTATTATACACCCTCCTGCATAGTGTCTTCTCTTATTTCATATAAAACTTAAATCCAAACCTAAACTTGCATAGTATCTTCTTTTATTACTTTTGTTTGCTAGTTTTTAGTGTTAATTTATAATGATTTAAATACTTATGGTGGAACTAGTTTCTTTATGGTTGTTTAAATTCTAGAACAGTTTGTCGCTATTATGAAAAGACATATTGCTATTGTGAAACTAATATGATACTATATTTATATATTTATGAAAATAAAGTGTTATATATATATTTTTGTTATTTAATTATATAAATCCGTGGTTCTAAACCGATCCAATCCGTATTTAAATGGATTGGTTCGGATTGGTTCCACGATTTAAATGGATTGGATTGGTTCCAATTTTTCAGGATCCGTAAATAACGGATTGGTTCTGGTTTCACTCTAATCCGATCCAATCCGGACCATGCTCACCCCTAGTCTCTAGTTTTTCTCAATTATTCATAAATCAAATACCAATTCATTTCAAGTTTCGATAACTTGAAACTTGTCTGTGTTGGTCTTATATTTTCGAATTATTTTTTCTAATACATAAACAATGTTGTAAATTTTTTTGATGCGCAATTCTATTCACATTTTTATGCTACGTCAAATCGTTACTAATAGTAGGTAAATAACCACATTTTTTAATAAGGTGTCGTTTGAAAAGTTTGTTATTTTAATTAATTTTTTGATTTTTTTAAATTATTTTAGTTTAACTAAAAAAATTATATTTGAAAAGTTGATTGTTTTTCTTTTTTAGTTGATTTGATGGTCATGAGAGAAATGATAAAATAATTATGATTTGAATATGATATTTGTCTCATTGATTATGTTTGCCAATTTTATTTTTATTGATTATTTTAACCTCTAACCTACTTCCCAAACAAGCCCTAAGTAGGATTAGACTCAATGATAAGTATCAAAAATGAAAATGAATTTATTGTTTTTATCCTATTTTGTTCATTACCAATCGATAACTAATTTTCTGTTAAAAAAATCAACAACTAATTTTTTATACGAATTTAACAATTGAAAATAATTATTAAATAAAAAAATTTATACCATAGAAAAATTCCTTCAGAAAAGACAAGTTCTTGACTGGGGGTCACAGCTATCTTTCAACGTCATACTTACTGGTAATGGGTAGTTCGGTGGTTGGGTTATCATCATCATTATAGAATCTTGTTTGTAAATGCAAATTTTAACAGCAAAAGAAATAAAAATAGGGCACTTTTTTATAAATATTTTTTTATATACTTATATTTCATTTAGTGGTAGTTTGAGATATTTTAAATAAATATATTTTTTAATTTTTTATTAAAAAAATATGTAAAAAGATAGAGAAAGTAAATAAAAAAGTAGAGAATCGATGTTAATAGATGTTGAGACCCAAATAAGTATATGTATACAAAAAAAAAAAAAAAAATTACAATTTTTTAGTGCATGCCAAATAGCTACTTAGTTTACATTATTTTTTTATATTCCAATAAGTCTTATGGGTAATATAGTTACCAAAATACTCTTAATAATATTCACATTTACAGTGTGAATGTTCTATGATGTGAATATTCACACCATTAATGTGAATTTATATTACCAAATTGCTAACCGTTCAAAAAATATTTGTAAGGGTAGAAATGTCAATAAAATACCTTAAATATGAAAATTAGAATTTGGTAGATCAAATATCTAAATAATAGGACTTATTAGAATATAAGAATATCTTATGAACAAATTAGGATACAAACACTTGAAAAACAGTTTTCTAATAAATTTCCCATAAAAATATTTAACACTTCAATTATATATCCTGTAGCAATCATATAATCCAACAAACAAAATATAATATGTGACTATCAAATATATATAAATAAAACTATAACAACCAAATTAAAGAAAAATAAAAGAATAAACAAAGAATTCCAAGCTCTCTGAAATTTCAAGTTTTCTTCATTCATGTATAATAAACATATAAATATATGGGGTAATTATAAAAATTTTGTTAATTTAAATTTTAATATTAATATTTTAATTTATTTTTAATTTAAATCATTTGCTTAGTTTCATTAATCAAAATCAAAGAAAAAAATAGTATATATGTGATGATCGGTTTCATTGTGCGTCGTTTCACTTTTGTCCTCTTTGGGTTTGTTGTGTTCGAAAGCTTTCTTCCAAATTCCGGTCCTTGTTTATTCCGGATTGAGTGTCACTTGTTTCGGAAAATCGAAACCAGGGCCGCACGTGCGGGGAAGTGGGTCTTTTTCAGCTCGCACACTGCATAAAAGGCAGGTGCGGGAAGGGGCCACCACACGTGCGGGGATGAAGACCGCACGTGTAGGAGGACGCTTCGCACATGCGGGAGTAGGTGCCGCACGTACAGGCCTCTAGGCAATCCGAAATCTCTATTTTTTTTTCTCTCTTTGGCTGTGTGTGTATCACTTTTAGCTCATCTCTCTCTTTCTCTAAAAATCATTTCCTCTCCCTTCTCTCTACTTTTCCTACACCAAAGCTCCTAAAACATTTGATCTCTTGCAATCCATTAGGATCTTAACTCAACATTTTTCACAAATATTGGAAAGCTAAGCTAGAAATCCACTTTGTGCGGTGGAGATCGAAGTTCTACACTTTTGAATCCTAGGGTTTCATCTCATCTCTTCAACAAGGTTGAGGTAGGGACTTCTTTGAGTTATATATATATATGTTTTGCAAGTTTGATGTGGGTTTTGGGTTTTCTTGGAGGTATTATAAAGGTTTGATTTTGGCTCAAGAATGTAAGAATTTTGGAAAGTGGGTTTTAAAATCTCAAATCTTTCTAAGATAATCTTGAGGGTTGAAATCATTTTGGGCAAGGAAATGGTGTCTTCTTTAGGGTTTCTTTCAAGTGTTTAGAGTGTGTGTTGTTGTAAAGAAGAAGCCTAGAAATTTGGGGATTTCCTTAAATAAAAGAAGATGAGGGTTCATGGTTGATATTATATATATATATATGTTATATACATTGTTGTGTGCCATGATAAGCAAAGAAAATGGAGAATTTCTTATTTTTATACAAATGCATATATATTGATGATGGGTTTCTTAACATATGAGAATTGTTGAGATTGGAAGTTGTTGTCCAAATTTTGCTATACCTTTGAAATGATTAAAATGATGAAGTGCATGAATTGTGAACATATTGTTATATATTGATAAATGGTAGCAAAATTTTTGGCTATTTGTTGGAATGGCATTGAAAAGAGAAAACGGGGATTTTGATCCTTATGGAACATTTGTTGGAGTTATGTTGAAAGTGGAGAAACATGATGTAGTATAGATAATTGTTGCATTGGCTTTTCTAAAACCTTGAATGTCATGAACATTGGATTGGGAATTGGAACTTTTATTGGGAATGAAATATTGTAAAATGAAATCATGGAAATATTATAGAGTAAATACGTTGGTAAGTCCGGATAGGAGGTGTAGATGAAATTGTTTAAGTTGGCCTGAGTGTCCTGAGTGAAAGACCGAAAACACGCGCAGAGGAGGTACCACTTCCTTTTCGGTTAGCAACCGGTAAAGTGGGGTTTGGTAGTGCTAGTCATGCCTACTTGCAGACACCAACGTAGAGATTACTTGAGTTATATTTACCGCCCCCATTAATAAAATTGTAAATTTCGGAATTGTTGAGATGTCAAACTGTTGTTGAACATGGTGACTTTTTAAACAAAAAGCATGTAAATGAAACCCTCTTTTAAATGGCATTTGCATTTAATATTGAAAATCTTGCATAAATGTATATACTTTGTTAAGGATTCTCTACTGGGTTTTATGCTCAGCCCTATGGGATTTTGGTGCAGGAAAAGATGTGGTGATCCCGCCGAGTTGAGGGCGTGAACATATTTTGTGAAGAGTGATGACTCTATTTTTGTGGTGATTTATTTTGCTAGCCTAGGGCTATTAATGTATGGGTCCGAGAGACCATTTTTGTATAACCAGGCTAAGCCTTGGAACATGTAAGCCCCTAAGGGCATTTTATTTGTTTTGAAATTTGATGTTCTACATGCTATAGATTCATGTATTTTTATATCATTGAATGTATAATTCGCATATGGAATTATGTATGAACCTTATTGATATGATGTACAAATTGGAGAATTACTATTATTCTTGATGGATGTGGGTTGATGTACCTAATTTGAGTTGGGCTATTTTTTTTTTTTTGGGCGTTACAATATAGCACGCACCCACAACCCGGGTGAATTAGGGTTGGTCTATTTTAAATTTTTTAGAATTTTGTTTTAAGAGAAAGATGTTACGCAGATTGTTACCTCAAAATAATAATAATAATAATAATAATAATAATAATACAACAGCAAAAAAAAAAAAAACAAAACGTGTTGCAAACTTATTAGGGAATGAGCCAATTACAAGGCTCACATGGGACTGCTAAAATTTTTCAAAATTTCTATTTCATATATGTTTGTCAATATTAAAAAATAAAAAAATCTATTTATATATAAAATTTATACGAAAAAAATTTAACCATTAACTCATCCATTTAATTCTGTTATGATTCATTGCTGAAAAAAATTTCAATCTAACTAAATTTTGCTTATCAATTACTTATTTTTATGTTAGTGTCTCTACAATTCTCCATAGAGATTGACACCTCTGTTTTCTATATTATTATATAATTAGGGATGGCAATGGATAACCTGTCCTGTGGGTGTCCATGGAGATCTAACCCAAATATATGGGTTTTCCCTCTTTTTCTTATCCATTGGGTAGGGTAAGTGATATTCTTTAAATATCCATAGGGGATGAGTTGGGGATGGGTACCCACTAATTTCTCCATATGTTTTTTTTTTTTTTTTCAAGGATTCACAACCAAAACTAAATATACATTCAATCTTTTATTTATTTATTTATTTATTTATTCAGGTTCACAACCAACTTTTTTATTTATTTATTTATTTATTATTAAAGATCCACAACCAAAGCTAAATATACATCAAATCTTTTTTTTTTAATTATTTTTTTTTTTATTTTTAAGGTTCACAACCATTTGTTTTTTTAAATTTTAAGATTCACAACTTTTTTTTTTTTTTTTTTTTTTTTTTTTTAGGTTAAATATACATTCAATCTCTTCTTTTAAACTCACTTTCTCCTTTCTTTTGTCTCTCTTATAATGGAGATTATTGACATCCATCTTCACTGACTTTACCACCATCCGGTAAGATTTCTTTTCTCTATTTGATCCAAGCGTTTTCTCTCTCTCTGCTCAAAGTCTCCACCAGTAACCACCACCTCTACTATTTCAAATCTATTATAGCGACCTTATGTCTATCACTATCTACAACCACCTCGACTACATACAACCTCTACAAGTCTTTTTTTTTTTTTTTTTGATTAATTTTTTTTCCCCCCACTTTAAAAATTTTTTTAAGGGAAAAAAAAAAAATAAGACACATATATCAAATTATTCATGAATAAAATTCGCTATCACATAAGTAGAGCTTTTATTAAAATTTTACTTTTAGTACTCTTAAACATTTTTGACGAGGAATATAGTTTTTGCGGGCCAAGTGTTTCATTTCTATGGTGTAATTTTTTTTTTCAAATTTATATTAATTTTTTTTTTACCTATTATGCAATTATTTTGAGATTCTCTCAGATAAATGTAGAGTTACTGCACTAGCTTCATGGTAGTTGGGCAAAACCAGAGTACTTAATAATTTAGATAAGAAAAATAATGAAAATTAAATAAAATATTGTTAAAGAAGGTAATAAAAGAAAATGACTTTCTAAACAACTTCTTAGGGCCTGCTTGGTAACCATTCTGTTTTCAATTTTTAGTTTATATTTACAAAAATTTTAAAAACTGTCATGTAAAC